AGAGAGCGAGAGAGAGAGGGAGAGAGAGAGAGAGAGAGAGAGAGAGAGAGCGAGAGAGCAAAGGGAGTGGCAGACGCTGACAAATCTCATGCCGGGAAGCCGACTGAGCCATCCCTGCACATCTGAAGTTCGCCGGCGCCGACTTCTTCATAATTCACAGGATTTGGACTTCATAAGGTAGTAGTGCTGTTTGTGAGCGCGGATCGGCTTTATGTCGCTTGACAGGGGCGTGTGAAGACGGTCGCGAGCACGCCGCAGTGAAGAGCCAAAACAATAGAGCAGCAGACTCCACGGCGCAGAAATGAGCCAGCACACCAAACTTCTGCCTCTTTTAGGATATATTATACGCGTTATGCTGTAGTAATCTGTCTTTTGTCTTGAAATTCACGCAGTGAGTTTATAACGAGGCAAATGTAGGGTTTGGAAGGTAGCGGTGATGACAGCATATCGAAAGTGCCGACCTCAGTGGATAATGGGTCTCATTTTACAGATGGGCTAGAATACCGCAAAGGACCTTGCTTTATCACTCATTTATCACTCAGGAAATAATTCATTCACAGTGTGTCGATTACATTGTTTCAGCCTCATTCAAACGATAAAATGTGGGTTTTGTGTCTTTCTTTACCCCGAAGCATCACATTATTGATGCTGTGGCTCTGGCTCAGCCAGTATCCTGTCTATGGACTGGCATGGGCCATTCAAGGCCATTCATATAGCAAATTGCATCCAGTCAATGGGATTTAGCTGTGTGTTTCAAACGCTCATGATGGTTGTCTTCAGTCCCGCAGGTAGAATGGAGAGGGATATCCGCCATCCTCACATTTAGTGCCTCAAAAGGAAAAAAATAATAATAATAAGCTGCGAAACTTGAAGTTTCTCCAGTGGACATAATGAACATGCTGAAGTCCAGCGGCTTGAAGATCCCTGGCAGGGGTCCTAAACAATCCAGTCCAGTGGGACGAACAACTGCTGGCCCATCAACCAGTCTTGCGGCTCAAAAAGACAGTAAGTCAGCTTCTTCTGTGCCTCACTCGCCTCCAGACCCAGATAAGCCAGAGATATGTCTCATCATATTAGCCGTCACTAGGCCCAGACAGAATCTGCAGACACTTTTTGCACCAGCATTATTTTATTATTATTTATGTACTTTTTATATAATATAGAATTCTTCAACATTTTTCATTTAAATTTTAGTTTTAGTAATGTTATGTGATTTTGTCATTTATATCGTTTTTTTTGGTAACATTTATTTAGAATAAATGTATTTTTTATTTATATTTCAGTTTTAGTCATTTAAGTACTTGAACAATTTCAATTAACAAAAAATATTTTAATAGTTTTAGTTAACAATGACAACACTGTTTTATGCTGATTTTGTGGGTGAAATCGATTTGAGCATGATAAAATGCATTGAACAAACCTGGAAGTTCCTGCATATAGGGATGTAACGATTAACCGCGAGCCGGTTGAAAATCGATTCAAATATGTGACGATTCAAATCGGTTGAGATGCTGAACAAATCGCGATTCAATTAGGGGTAGGAGTTTATATGAATGTATATCTGAGGGGAACTTTAGACTTTAGAAGAGTTTAGATGGTATTTTTTCTTTTTATCTTGCTTCTCACTGAAAAAAATGCTACTAAATATTTTGAAGGTAAGTGGTCGCAAACAATTTATTTTAGCTACATTTAATAAAAAAAAATATGTTGAGAGTTAGTCAAATAAATTTGTTTATTTAAATGTAGCTAAAATAAATTGATTGCAACCACTTGCCTTAAAAATTTTTTGTAAATTCAATGAATCATTTTTTTCAGTGTGTATAATGCATATTAAAGTTCATATGTGCAGCGCTGCTTTGTTTACAGCGGAAACCTCTGCTGTTTCTGTTTCATGCAGATATTTTTTATGTATAGTTTCACAAAACTAATAAAAGTCAAACCATTCTGTTTTTGCTTCAAATGTCGAAATTATACAATCTAATTTAGATAAAAAACTGCTCATGTTGCATGTGTGCAGCATCTTTGTTTGGATCGTGATTAAAATGCTGTGGTTGCCTCTAATTTTAAATGCAAAGAGCACAGACAAAGCCTTAGTTTGTTTATATGAAGAGATTTATTTTATTTGTGTTAATTATTTATTTGATTTGGGGCTTGTTTTAAAATGTCAATTTAGTTTTGTTATTTACATTTACATTATATTTAAATTTTGTTATTTAGCAGACGCTTTTATCCAAAGCGACTTACAAATGAGGACAATAGAAGCAATCAAAACCAACAAAAGAGCAATAATATGCAAATGCTATATTAGTATATTATTATAGTGTTATATTTCAATTTCACAAAGAAACATGCAGCATTTTGTCCAAGCAATAATAAAAGGACACATTTAATTTATAATTTGTCTTAAATCTAATTTTGTAAAAAAAAAAAAAAAAATCGTGAATTGAATCGTGAAATCAAAATCGTGAATCTAATCGAATCGCGAGTTGAGTGAATCGTTACATCCCTACCTGCATATAATAAACATGACTAATTTAATAAGTAATGAAATGATTGAAGCAAGTGTACAACTTCTGCAGAGATCTGTGTCATTTTCTACTGAATTTTATAGTTGCAGATTCTGTGTTGCCTGGATTATAATAAAATACTACCATGGTTTTTTGGACATGATACCATGGTAATACCGTGTTTATGTGGACTTGTACCATGCAAATACCATGGTATATGACCATGGTTATCATTCACTACAATGGTACATATATCAAAGTATCATCAATGACCCAAAGTACCATCACAATGCCTGTAAGGGATGAGTCAGCTGTTATCAGTTGAATTGCAGTGGCTTAGTTCAAATTTTGCTTTTTTTTTTTTTACTGAAATGGAACCTTTTTGCTACTGTCTACACTACCATTAAAAAGTTTGGGGTCAGTAAGACTTTTATTCAGCAAGAATGCACTAAATTGTTAAAAAATGACAGGAAAGACTTTCATTTTTACAATGCACTTTCTTTCTGTTCTTCAAAGAATCATGAAAAAAATTATCACAGTTTCTACATATTAAGCAGCACAAATGTTTTCAACATTGATTATAATAAGAAATGATTTCTGAAGGATAACGTGACACTGAAGACTGACGTAATGGCTGCAAAAAATTCAGCTTTGTGATTACAGGAATAAATGACATTTTTAATTATACGAACTCAGAAAACAGTTATTTTAAACTTGTAATAATGTTTCACAATATTACTGTTTTTTTTGTTTTTTTGTTAATCAAATAAATGCAGCCTTGGTGAGCATAAGAGACTTCTTTCAAAAGCATTAAAAAATCTTACTGATCTCAGACTTTTGGAAGGTATAAGCACGATTTGATCACTCTTCAAGTAGATGTAAGCTTTTTTACAAAACGGTAGACCATTTGTGAAGATCAATGGGTGCAGATCGCTTTATTCCTTGACAGTTTGATCTGAGTTGTAGTTTATTGTGATGCATGTAGTTAATTATCTTTCGAATCAGATGACAAGCGCTGACAATGGTGACACAGACATTGGTTACATAAATCACAATGAGCTAATACAACGAGACCAGACCATGTTATTTACATGAGTTTGTGTGTCACTCAGAAGGGTGTCATGGTTCAAGCAGACTGTGGAATGCTTTGTTCGTAAAGCGCACACATACAGGAAGTGCAGTGAAAATCAGGAGTTGTTATGCTTTTCACATAAAGAAGTCATCAAACGTGATATATAGTTTAAAAAGCCATTTTGCCCAAAACTCACATTTATTGCCCTCTTATCAACGTTTTGTTTGTCTCTACCAACAGTATGTGTTTTATGTTTAGCAAAAGCAGCTCATGATATTTATAACTGCGTGGGTAAAATGTGGATAGCCTGCCCTTTTTTAAATTTCACACCATAGTATTAAAGTGTCGTGTCCTGCGGTCTAATTATAACTGTGAAACAAGGGAAATGCACTAGCATTGATATAGTCCTCTGGCTGTTCTCAGAGACTGAAGAAGAAGAAGAGTGTGTGCTTGTGGCAAAATGTGACTTCAGGAATGGGTGGTTGATATTTCAGTGAAAAAAATAAAAATAAAAAGATTAAAGTTTTTAATTGTGCTGCACACAATCTTGTGTAATAATTAAATATATAGGCTGTTTATTATTATTATTTTTTTTAATAAACCACACCTTAAAAATGGCATATAGTGTGACAGTTCATTTAATTAAGGGCATATTTGTCTATAGAAAGCAGATGACATGTTTTTTTCTGTTCAATTTTGAGGCAATCTAAATGCTAGTTTACTATTAAACATTGAGTAAATTCACTTGTACATAAAAGTTTACTGTTAAAATGTACAGTTTTTTTCCTCATGGAAAAAAGACTAAAATCTTGATAACTCATGTTTCACTACAAAGTTTTTTGTCAAATCAAATGCCTTCTACTATGAGAATATCCTTCCCATCTACGGCTAACAGCAAGTAGCAAATCAGAGTTCATGGCTGTGACGTAATAAAGCCTATTTAAAAAGTACAAAGCTTTTAATATTCTCCATCCAAACTTCCTGTTTTAATAGGAAGCACATCATCACAAGAGAAAAAAACTAGGCTTGTTAAATGATTTTGTGGGATTTTTAAGATAATTTTCAGTATTTAAAGTCTTTCAGTTGCTGGTAATATAATGTTCTGCATTATTTAGAGTTTTGCAGTGATGTTTAGCTCAAACTTAAAAACTGAGCACCAATTTTGCAAACTATACTAATGCATAAAGTGGTTAACAATATAAACATCCTCTGACATGATGTCAGCCGCCCACAGGCTCCGTACACTCCCAAAACTAGAGTTTTCTTATATATGCAGCCCAGGCACAGGAAATGAGTAGCACATTGGGTTAGACAGAAGACTGTCTGAACCAGTGTAGCTTTTAAAGGTTTTTAGGCCAGAGAATTGTTTTGTATGAGTTCTTTATGAATGCTTTGGTCGGTAACATTTTTACCACACAGTTCTTTACCCTATTTTCTAAGTAGTTTCTCTCAGCCTCAGATGGACCACCACTGGATCAGGTTGTCATTTACACACTGTGTCTGATGGATAATACAGACTGAAATGGCAATAGTTCCAATCTGATTGGCTGGCCACAACAGAAATCAGGGTCACAGATCAGTTCAGCAAAAACCCGATTTCCAGCATCCCCACCATGCCGTGGTTGGAGAATGTGAGAAGTCTTAATATAAACACCTCAATTTGAACAAAATGGTCTGATTCAGACTTTTACTTTCCTGCTTACTATCATTATCTCATAATTGTATTAGGAATTAAGGCTTTAATTTAAGCAATATGGAATTTTCAAGATGCTACTACCAGAATTGTTTGATAGGTAAAGTAAGCATGAAGTAAGCTTTATTGTCATATTTTTAGATAGTTAGGAAAGTACTGGGGTGGCATGCTGAGTTGCCTAACATCTTTAATCAGCTGTGTCAGTCACTTTCGCTGACAGCACCACTGACAGGACTCAAAACATTTATAATGCTATGGTGACACTGACACTAAATACTGCCCATTGCATGTGTAGAATTGTTTGTGCATTCATCTTAACATATCTACAAATAGAAAGCTTCCTTATGTTACAAACTCGATTTAACAGATGAGAATTAGAAACAGTTTGACAAATTTCCACATCCCCTTTTCTTTTCCAATGCGATGCACTTGTAAATTGACATTTTCACTGAATTGGAGAGTTTGATTTGAATCATATTACTAGCATATTGGCTGTTTATTAGTACTTATAAAGCACATATTCTGCATGATCATATTCTACATCCCTAATCCTACCCAATGCCTAAACTTAACAACAATCTTACTAACTATTTATAAACAGTAATTAGGAGTTTATTGACGCGAAAGTCGGAGTTAATAGTTAGTTAATAGTGAGAACAGGACATTAAAATAAAGTGTGGCCGAAAAATTTGATGAAAGAGGTCAGGCAACTGAAAGATGAAATTGATGAAGA